AAGTACCTGCACCCTTTTAAACAGATATCCCCTAACACCAGAGGTACTTCAGTTTCTGTAAAATATCCTTGCATACAAAAGAATGGTTAAGTATACAAATGGAGAGTAGACAAACAGCTGAAACAGCAACATCCATCCGCTGTATCAGGTAAACTGCACATTCACTCCAGTACTCTGAGAAAAGCCCAAAATGTTCAGTGGTATATGCAAAGGACTCCCGTGCTACGGGATACAATGTCCCCCATGAATTTCTTTACAATACCTATTCTTTTAATATGCATTTATTTATTATTATTATTTTTCTCCTGTGAAGGTGACAGAGCCCTGGCACAGGTTCTCCAGAGAGCTTCTGGATTCTCCTTCACAGACTCACAGAATGATTATGGATGGAAGGGACCTTTGGAGATCATCTAGTCAAACCCACCCTGCACAAGCAGGGTCACCTGGAAGATACTGCACAGGATTAACATTCAGGAGAGAGAAGACTCTACAACCTCTCTGGACAACTTGTTCCTGGGCTCTTGACACCCTCACTGTCTCTGGAGATCTTCAAAAGCCGCCTGGACGCAACTGTGCCCTGTGCTCTGGATGTCCCTGCTAGAGCAGGGGGTTGGCTTAGATGATCTCCAGAAGTCCCTTCCAACCTCAACTATTCTGTGATTCTGTGTGTTTACTGCTTGGCATTTAATTACATCTGCTCTCATGGGTTATTTAAAAAACAGTGTAGCCATGGTTACTGTCACGCAAAACTGCCCTTTGTAACACAGGGAGGGAGGGATTCCAATAACCTTAAATAAGAATGACAGAATTATAACCAAGAATATTATTCTTCTGCAAATTCTCTACTCCTCTCTAGAAAGAGTACCTTCCATGATTTTCCAAGTTCATGGACAAATAAGAAGCTCCACCTATGAATACTGAATTTTATGCAGAAGAGGTAATGCAGAGGACTGGTCTGTTGTTTCTCTCTGATGCTGAGAATGAGTCATTCCTTCATTACAGCTCTCTTCATCTTTTTGGCTTGCAGATAAGAACAGCCACTGCTTTATAATCACCAACAGGGAGACAAAGAAAGACAGTACACAATTTGCCTCCATCTGAAATGGTCCAAAGAGAACAGGAAAAAATACACTTTAATATTAGACAAGACATGAAATACAGTAATTCAAATGATTCCCTCCAGCTGCCTTTCCTTACCCAGATTTCATGCATACATATTTTGGCCTGCTGTGTAATGGAAGTGTTTTACACTTAAAATGTGATTATAAAAAAATGCCAGTTAGCATCCCTTCAATTTTAAGATCTTCAGTATCATCTGACCTTTGCTTAGGGAGACCTTACATTTCTCTACAAGAGGAAACCAGATGAGATTTATCATCAAAGCCATAAGCTAGAATTAGAAATAAGCTGTTAATTTCTCTTGGCTTTAGGAAAGTGTCAATCTCTTACCAAAAAAAAAAAATCTGAGCTTGTTATAAAGATATGTAAAATACTACTAGATACTCTAGTAAACAAATGGTATAAATGCTTTTCGATGTTTTGGGTAGGAGCTAAATTTGTTTTGATAGAACTCATGGCACAAAACAGCAGCCAGTGCCTGGTTAAAAAGGACATACAACACTACAAACCACCACGTCACATTGTGAAATCCAAGTGTGATGGCCATGGATACATATATGAGGAGTTCTGCAAAATAATGAGGGCAAGAAACACTCTCAAACCAGTCTCCGTAAGGTACACTGTGGCTCAGATTTATGACCTTTCCTGCAAGCAAACAGAAAAATAGGCTAGTTCAGAATAGCATGGGATGCAAACTTTTCTATCTATAATTACAGAACAGCACCCTCATTAAAATTATAATCATGATCCACCTACATCTGATTTGGCAGCTTTGCACTCAATAAAGATCAAGGAAATCATTTCTAGTCCACATAGAGAAGAGAATTCTCAGTGGCGGAGTGACATAATTCCTAAGAATTACTATTTGTCTTTGGATACTTTAGATACTGGAAGCGAGATCTTTATTTTTAATATATAAAGGTTCTGGAAAACTAACTATACATGAAAACACACATGCACACACACACATTTCATTCAGACATCTAATCTCTTTGCCAAAAACACTCATTTAATTTACTGAAAGTCTTATAGAGAACTAAACTTCAGTAACTGAAAAATACTTTTTTTTTTTAAAGTTATTACATGCTACAGAAGTCTATTGCAACAGCCATTTTTAAAATTGGAAAATTTACCTCAGTAAACAGCTCACAGAAATGAAACACCTTACCTGATTTGCTTTTTCTAAGATTAGCTAGAATCACAAAACATCTGTGTTGGTGAAGCGAGGCCCAAATGTACATCACAATTCCCACTATGTGATACCAGCAGATCTGCACAGAAAGTTCTTCTCCTGAATTTAAATATTTCATTAATAGAAGGATCAAGAAATCCCAAGCCAAGCACCATCCCAAAACACTGTACATATACTACAAATGTTATTGCCTTAAAACCTCCACTAGTGAGTATTTAATCCTTTGAAAGATGCTTTTAAATCCCGTGTGACTTAAATGCTTAACTGATAATTCTTAAACTGCTCTATAGTAATGTCAGACTAAACTAAATGTTTCCAGTCCAGCAGTTTGAGGTACACTGTGAAGTGTAACAAACACATAACAGATACATACCTCAATATTTAACAGTCTTTAAAACACCCTAAGAAGATGCTACCATGTCTCATATAACCACAGAACTACTCATATAAACTCATGCCATTTATCTTGTTCACAGTAAGCGAAATGCACGTGCATGCAAGTGCACACGTGCACACACACACACTGAATCATTTTGGTCTTTAAGAAAACTTTTTGTATTAAGGATTGGTTCCAAAGTGCAAGTCAATAAATAACCTTTCTGAGAATATAGAAAATTAAGAAAGGAGAAAGCAGGTCTAGGTTAAAAAAAAGGCTGGCTTTATCTACAGACAGGACATCTGAAGTCTGTTTTAAAATCACTGTAGAATATTAGAACTGATGTAAGATGCTTGGACGTGGTTAAAAACTTTACTAAAATTACATACTTAGTAATGATCACCTCAAAAAAGAAAGGAGAAGTACTACAACCAGACAAAATGTTTCAGCTCATGGTTCATCTGTGCAGAGAAGACATAGCAGCTCAATTGTGAGACAGTAAAGAGGGTTGGCAGAGAGAGGTCCAGTTCAGTTGAACCTCCAACTGAACGCCATAGTTGCGGACTCCACAGTGCACTCCAGTAAAAACTGCAGCATTTAGGAAATGGTATCTATTATTTCCCTTCATAAAGCAGAAGTATTTCAATGGCAAAACTTATCTATAAGGATCCTGAAAGTATCTAGAGTGGAATATTTTTTCTGGGAATAATGGTGGTTCTAAATACAAAATTACACAGGTCTGTGTATTTTTGTCTCTATCAGGAATGCAGGGAAACACACCTGGTTCATTATCCCTTATACTGAGATCTAGTTGATTTGAAATATGCCAGTACATATTTTTATATCTCATCAATTAACATACTTGCCACACAAACCTTCTACAAAACCGCATTTACTATGACGGAAACAAATGGGAGCAAAAATGCACCTTTGGTAATAACTAAGCAGGTACTTACCATTCCGGAAATTAGCAGGCACTTGGCATAGCACAGTTAAGCCAAGAGCAATGTAGTAGCCAAGTCCGAAGCAATAGTGCACGATATGAATGACGCCATCTGAAAATACACTGGTACAGAGGCACTCTGCAAGTCTCCGAAAGCTGTGCAGCCAAAGGAGCAGGAGGACCAAGAGCGCAGAGAAGTATTCACTACCTACTTGCAGGTAAAAACAGTGACTCAGGGATAGATAGGTACAAATCCAACACCAGCAATGCCCCAAAAGGGCTGACTTTCCCCCCTTCTCACAGCAAAATCCTACCCGAATTTTACCCCAAGTTTACCCACCAGGAAAAATGTATACATTTGAGGCACACTGACCACACTGGCTGAGCAAGATTACCTCTAGAAGGTGCCCTGTCTACTATAGCACTGCTGGAAGCTATTGTATTCATAAATGAGAATGATTTCTACCTTGAATAATGACAAAGGGAGCTGTTATTCCAGGAAAGTCATTTGGAGCCTAGTTTAGGAGAAGCTGATGAAGTAGCACACGAAGAGCACAAATTCAGCAAAGGATGGTGGTGCTGCTTTCTAATATTCATATGGCTGCCTCTTGGTGTCTGGAATACTTGCCCATGTACTCGTTCTGTGAAGCTCTGTCAAGAGCATGGTGCAGGTGCTGAAGCCAGGATGAGAGAGATCCTGGGAGGAACTGAGTTTTGAGAAGCCAGATCAGCAAAAGGCCATTCCAGAGCACAGAAACAGCATAAAAGTGAGTAAACCACCTGTGGGAGCAAAAAGTATCTTCATTAGCTTATTGCTTTCATTATTCCTTAGCTGGATACATAACTACAGGATATGTTTATCTGATGGGGAGAAGAATCCCTTTTGGCCCACACATCAATAATTAGAGAAATAAGCAATAGCCAAATAGCAATGGCTCTAGCACCCTCTTTCCTTGTGAAATGTAGTCTGGGACAGCAAGCAGCGGTACCTCTGACTGCCAACCTTTCTAACAGTTGCTGCATTAAAGAGGGAGAGTGGTAACCACACATAACAAAAGTATTATTTAATGCTTACAAATAATTACAGTGGACATAGCTTTTTTTCTTTGTAATTCACATAGCTGAAAAGTACATGGGCATTTCCATGCTGTTGGACCTAACAGCATTCCCACATTCTTCAGTTCTCATGGATGTATTACATGATGCTTACAAATAATTACAGTGGACATAGCTGAAAAGTACTTGGGCATTTCCATGCTGTTGGACCTAGCAGCATTCCCACATTCTTCAGTTCTCGTGGATGTATTACATGATATATTTAAAGTTCATGAATGACAAATGTAGATGGTAAAATGACCTAGACATAATTATTCAGGCTGTGTGCTATTTGAATATTTGCTATTTGCAGGTATTTGGAAATTCTTGAATTTCCAAAGAAAAGTATGCAAGAATCATACAGAAAACAGGACAGATCATCAGGATTCCTCGGTGATTACAAGGCAAGACTAGATTTCTTTAGCTCTGAAGGCAAAGAACTCCCAGCCCCATTATACACTTAGGTAAGTACATTATGCATCATTAAAATAAAAGATAATATGATCAAGATAGGTAACTGGATGGAATTAAATAGCCTTTAATAACCAGTTCAGACTAGGCGATACAGTATTTCCTTTTGATGTTAACGAGGAAATCTCTGTGACTATGAACAAAACTCAGGACCTCCAGCAACATGTGCAGAGATAAACACGTTAGCATGTATCATGTCACCTTCAGGTGGGTAACAACTTCTCAGCTCTCTCCTAATAAGCAAACAGGAACTGCAAGGTTTGCTTTGCTGATTTCCAACAGTACAACTAAAATCAACCTTCCACCACTTTACATTTAAAAGCCAAACACAATCTGTATACGGATAAAACCGTATCTCCAATTCCAAGTTTCAGGTTCCTTTCTGTCCTGTTATTTGTAGGTCTCCATCCCACTGTTTGCCAGGGAACTCTCCCCAGCGAGTTACTTTTGTTACCAGCAAAAAAACTCTGCCAGCAAAGCTGAAAAGCACCGAGAGCTTTTAGCAATCCCTGCTATACAGAGCACGTATCTGATACGAAGACCATGCCAACATTACAGTAAGTACATGTGTAATCCTTCAAGGACAGGAGTGTTTGGTATCTGCCAAAACAACCTTAAGTTAATTATAGTATTACACAAGATGGAATGGCAAAGTTGAGAACAAGTCTAGGGTAGTAAAAATACAATGCTTGTTTGGAAAAAAAATACAAGTAAAATGGAAACAAAAAATGCTGCAGCAGCTACCTCCAGGATGTTCTGTGTTCTCTTAGCACGCAGCGTTGACTACTCTAGTAACAGGATGATTTTGAAGATGCTGAGTTCTGAGGGCCAAACCACCAAAAAAGCCACCTTCTTCAGACACCATCTTCACTAAGAAAGGGTTGTAGAAAACTTCTGTTGCAGAAAGGTCTATTCAAAGGAGAACCACCTCAAGAAGGTGTCTTTTGCAATGCACTGCAATTAAAGCCACGTTTACAAACCCTTCCTTTTGCCAAGGATACCACAGAGTTTAAATGGATCGCTGGAATTTCCTGTGACTACAAGCTTGATAACCAAGATACCACATTATAATTTTTCCATGAAAAGTATGCCAGGTTACATAACTTTTATTAATGTGTGGCTTGAAAGCTACACATTTAAAAATGTCAGTGACAAGCAGGAATATAGCTTACTGTTATCTTTGCAGGCCAGATGATTAAATTAGGGATGATCACATTTTGGGGGTTAAGTTGTATCCCAGGTTTTCATAGCAATTTGGTTGTTTCAATGACTATTTTAGCAAAAGAAATGTGTGTGGGTAACCCAACATTTGTTCTGGGTTATTGTCCTTCATGCAGGATTCAGCTAGTCTCTTATTAGCATCTTGTGCTGCATTTTAAAAAAAGCAGCAGGAGGAAGGTGATGAAGATGGCAAATGGATTTAAGAAAGCAAACCCACAGTATTTTTGCATGGACTTTGGAATCCACATTCTCAGCTCCCTGTTCTTGTCTTTCAGGAAGCTTTGTTTTACAGATACTGGGCAGGACTGGGATTCAAGATATTAGGTTTTTATTTCAGCTTTGGGGATGTAAAGTGTGCATGACAGAAGCTTGTTCCTCAATTCCCCATGTGTAAAAACAGAGTAACACTTTGTCACAAAACAAAACTTGAGGCTAACTATGCAAGTTTGTTTGATGACATTTTAAAATAGAAGAGACAGAGTAAGCAGATAGCATTTCAGAATCCTTTGTTTGTCGTGGAGATTACAAGTCTCATTTGAAACAGAATTTTATACATTTTCCAGTTCAACATACTTTCCAACTTTGTATTGTTACAATATGCTCCTTTTAACGGCCAATTTGTCAACAGGCTCTGCTATACAGTGAAAATTTTTGAGAATCTTCCAGAAAATCATTCTGGCTCATAGGAACCAAACACTTAACCATATTATAATTTCAATGGGTAAATTCCCAGTAGGCCTGAAAAGGACATGAAGAACCATGTGTTTCTAATAGTACAGTGAGTGTTAATAATCTATTTTCACATGCTTTTTATTTTCTACGTTTTATCATTGAAACATTCATTTTCCCTACTGTTGCATAAAAACACATGCCACTTCCTTACCATGAGCACTTAATAAATATTCAAGATGTAATATATCAGTGGTATAGGCTATTTTAACTAGTCTTCAGATACAGAAATCACAATATTTAATTACTTCACATACAGTCACACAGTACATGGGTCTACATCCCCAAGTTTGAGCTCTTATCTTTCCTGACAGGCCTAATGCTCCAGTGTTTTGGCTCTCTGCACCACTTAGGGTAGGTTTAACTATTACCCACATTACAAATAACACTGAAGACGTCTGCAAAAGCTCATTGTATAAATTGCATGCATGCATTTAATTCTGACTTGCTCCAACAAAGCAGCGTGACTTTCCTTGCAACTAAACAGCATACACCATCAGGTTTTCAGGCTCTAATTTCCAAAATTAATATAAAATAAGACTTTAAAAAAGAGGTTAGGAACAACATTCCCAGTAAGAAGCTGTCTTCCACTGTTCTTTCACTTAAAAGGTAGTATGTGCAAGGGAGTACGTGCAAGAGAAATAAAAAGACGCTGAACCTGAATTTATAGTGTAAGAAGATTTTTTTTTCCCCATGAAGTGATAAATCCCCGAGTTGCCTGGGGATGCAC